AAGAAGAAGAAGAAGAAGAAGAAGAAGAAGAAGAAGAAGAAGAAGAACCAACAATAAGGATCTCAATCAGAATGAAAAGAATGCGAGCCCACCTGCTCGACTTGAAGGGGGAATGGGGAAGAAAGAGGATGCTCTTCACAGCAAACATATGTTGATAAATTGACACACATCCAAACACACTTAACATGGCAGGCTTGTAGATAGCTCTTTGACACAGTTTCGTTTGGTCCCAGCTGAGTGGCTGGGTCTCCTTTAGTTGCCCTGCACAGGAGAACGGAGCTGGAAAGCAGGTTAGTGGGGTTGGGAAGGAATGGAGATTTTGCAGTATCCTTCCCCTGCCACGCTCACCAAACCATGCCCACCAAGCCATGCCCACAGAACTGGTAGTAAATTTTTTTGAATACCACCACTGGAGTGAGGTCCATGGTAGACAGTTTAAGGTTAAAGTTTTGGGGGTTTGAGGATGTAACAACGGAGCCAGGGAGTTCCAGGCATTGACTGTTGCTGAAGTCGTATTTTGCTGCAGTCGAGTTTGGAGCGGTTTACTCTGAATTTGTATCTATTGTTTGCCCATGTGTTATTGTGGTCGAAGCTGAAGTAGTTATTGACAGGTAGGACATTATAGCAGACAATTTTGTGTACTAAGCTTAGGTCAGACCATAGGCGGCTTAGTCCTAAGTCGTCTAGGTCCAAAATTTCAAGCCAGGTGGCCTAAGGTATTCTACTGCGAGCTGAGGAGTGCTGCCCAAGTTCTCACTGGCCGTCGGTAACAAAAAGAGAAAGAATGCAAATGAGGATAAGGTAATAATAGCCTGCGCTTTCAAAAGGAGGGGAAAGAGGTACGGCAGGTGAAAGTTTATCAAGGAACATTTAAGATTTCCTGAGTTATTCCTTGCCTACATTCCGAGGCTCACAAAGAGTTAGGAGGGGAGCTGATAAGGAGGGAGGCCTCCTCCTTGGTAAATAAAGTTCACCAAATGCCATTTGTGTCCCTCTGTTTGGCAGAGATAAGAGGAGAGGGAGAACTAAGGACATGTTTGCATCCTTTAGGAAGATTTGCCTGGTTGAAGAGGCAGGAGTGGGGGGAGGGAAAAAAAAACCAGGCTTGTTAAGGATGGAGTATAGAGTAGAAAAGTAAATATGGAGTAAATACGGAGTATATAAGTAGAAAAAAACTGAAGGAGATTATCAAGGGATCTAAATTGACTTTTGGCTTCATTTACACCAGTGGTGGGATTAAAAAAATTTTTTTACTACCAGTCCTGTGGGCATGGCTTGGTGGACATGGCAGGGGAAGGATACTGTAAAATCCCCCTTCCCTCCCCACCCCACTAACCTGCTTTCCAGCTCCGTTCTCCTGTGCAGGGCAACCAAAGAAGACCCAGCCAATCATCTGGGACTTGGGAGGCGGAGAATAGATGGAGGCGGGGCCAGTCAGAGGTGGGATTTGACGGTTCTCCGAACTACTCACAATTTCTGCTACTGGTTCTCCAGAACTGGTCAGAACCAGCTGAATATCACCTCTGGTTACACACACACACACACACGCACGCACACACACACACACACACACACACCTCACTGCAAACAATGCTTTCCAAAATCTCGGCTAAGTCATCTTTGTATCTCTTAACAGCAATGAAGGAACAGGGGAAAGAAAAATTAGAAGTTGAGAGTTACAATAGGGGCCCCTTCCCGCCTCTATCCCTCAGAAGGGTCTCTTGGAGACGATGCAATGGGTGGAAAGTCATCAAGGAGAGATCCAACTTGGAACTAAGAAGGAATTTCCTGACAATTGATCGGTGGAATGGGTTGCCTCCAGAAGTTGCTCCATCACTGGAGGTTTTTGTTTTTTTAGAAGAAATCGGAGAGCCGCTTGTCTTGATATGGTACAGGGTTTCCTGCTTGAGCAGTGGGTTGGACTAGAAGACCTCCAAAGTCCCAACTCTTCTCTTTTTCTGTTATTTTGTGATTCAGTTATGAAAGCATCTCCAAGCAAGTGCATGGAAAAAGAATCAATTCCCTATGAGATTAATTTCCCTTCCCTCCGGTTTGAAGGTCACGAGTGGCCTTCCTAGAATTTTCCATGCCCCATCGCTGAATTTGAATAGGAAAAAGAAGCTGCCTAAGGGAATGAGATCACCTCTAGGGCAGAGGTCTCCAAATGTGGCAACTTTTAAGGTTTGTGACTTCAACTCCCAAAATTCCCCAGCCAGCGTGAAATACTGTGAGCTGAAGTCCACCTGTCTTAAAGTTGTCAAGTTTGGAGAGTCCTACTCTAGGGGGAGGCCTGAAATAGGCTTCACACATTTGTGGTAAACAAAGCAAAACTCCCAAAACTTCAGCTCTTCAATAATAATCAAGGGGAAAAGATGGTTAACCCAAGATACATCCTGCCATGCCCCTGGTGGAGACTAACTCTGAGGGAGAGGAGGAACAGCCGACAGGGAGCGGAAGTGTGGCTCCGGAGGTTGTGGAGGAGGCTGGGGAAGGGCAGAGGCCGGCTGGGCAGTCAGAGGAAGAACCAGGCCCATCCCCTCTCCATCCTAGGGCACGCAGGGAGGAGAGGATAAGGGAGAGACGTGGTCTACTCAGGAGGAGAGGGCCTTGATCCTCTTCATGGGCTGCAGGTGTGAGAACTGCATAAGAGTTTGAACCTGCGTACTGGCAAACGCTGGAAACGAATCGTGTAAATATAGTTCCTCTCTGAGTTTGGAGTCCTTCCCAGTGTGTGTTATCTGTGGACATCTTCCAGCCCTTATCTTGCCTGGTTTGTGTTGCTTTTTTCCTTCTTCGTGTAACTGTGTGGGAGTTTGTTTTTTTTGTCTTCCGTCAAGGCTATTTGGAGCTTGGAAGCAAAGTGAAGGAATAAAAGGGGTTTCACCTGTTTTCTATGACTGTGTTTGTTTTGTATCCCACCCTGGGTCATCACACATCCATGTGACTTAGCCCTACCCAAACGGCATCATCTCTCTACCCGTTGCTGATTTTCTCCATCTTTCAAATTGGGAAAGCTTCCATGAATAATCAAAGGTCAAGCTAAAAACGATGGCAGAACCTAACTGGATTACTTCATTTCATGTAAAAATAAAAAATCAAGGTGGGAATAATGGCTGAACGCAACAGAACCACTTGGTTTAAAGCCAACCAATAGTCAAACTCAGAATGATGGTGGAACCCAACAGGGCCACTTGGTTTAAGGCCAACCAATAGTCAAGCTCAGAATGATGGCAGAACCCAAAAGGTCCACTTGGTTTAAGACCAACCAATAGTCAAGTTCAGGATGATCATGGAACCCAACAGGGCCACTTGGTTTTACAGCCAACCAAAACCCAAGCT